CGGACTCACCAACGCGACCCTGTCGTACCCAGTTGCGACTCTGCACCGTTGTCCAATACCTACATTACGAACCGTTGTCTTCCACGCGCTGCCCCCTCCATCCACGCCAAGTTCAGTTCCCCCCCCACCCCCTCCATCTGGCCTTCTTCTTATCCTTTTTTCCAGTCTTGGAGGTTTTGGTTGCGGGTTCGGACACGGCGATACCTACCGTACCTACCGCACCGCACTGCGACTCTGCGGTTCTGCGGGTAGTCCGATGCGATCGGCTGGATCTCTAGTCGCGCGCTGCTGCCCTGCTGTTGTGGATTTTGTGAGGGGTTTGCTAGGGTGGGGAGGAGGTGCGCTAGAGGGCTATGGGGTCGGAGGCTGGTGAGGGGATGGCGCGGGAGGTGGAGGGGGATGCGGGTGGTAGTATAAGTGGGGATGGGGTTGTGAGTGTGGGCGCGGGCGCGAGGAAGGCGAGGAGACGGCCTGTTAATGGTGAGTGTTCTTCTTTCTCTTCTCTCACTAGACCTTTGCGGCGGTTTTTGCTTTTATTCTTTGTGGATCTCGGGGGTTTTGCAAATGGCGAGGGGAGAAGAGGGCCTGTGGAGGCTGTTGTCGTGCTTTGGGTATCTTTTCTTTATTCGGGAAAGGTTGGACGGAGGTTGGATAGTTCTTCTTATCGTGTTTTGAATCAGCTCATAGAGTTTGGAGAAGAAGCTAATGTGTGGGTGTCTTTTCTAGCTTGTGCGACATGTCGAGCGAGAAAGGTACGTTAGACATGGATTGAAATGAGGCTATCACGTGCGACTGGTTAGCGAAAGAGATGTGAGGGACTTGATAACAACTCCCTCTGCGTGACTTTCTACTGCCTAGCCCCTGAAGCCCTTCAGTCAATTTATAAGTCAACAATCTAATCCCAGCCCAGGTAAAATGCGATGAGCGGCCCAATGGCTGCCTCAACTGCTCACGCCTCCAACTCGACTGCATACAAGCTGGTGGCATCTCCACTGCTACAAAACGCACCTCTGCGCCATTCGACTCTATCGTCGGCGTGAAAAGGAAACGTACGTTTCGGTCTTGCGTACCTTGCCGAGATTCTAAAGTCAAGTGCTCTGGTGAACGGCCGAATTGCTCGAGATGTCAGCAGAGGAGGACGACATGCGTTTATGATGCCCAGCAGAATGAACCGGCGTGGGTGCAGAGCATAGCTACGCCGAAGACGTTGGAGAGCGGGGCCTTAGCTGGGATGGAAAGTCCATTTGGGGGCCGGGAGAGGGGTGTTGGGAATCTTGCGATAGAGAGTGCTGCGCCTGCTGGTTGTCCTGTGGGATTAACGTGGTGAGTTTACCACTTACTGGGTCTTGGGGTCTCGGCAGTGGAACTGACGATGCACAGGTTGTTCGCTCAACAGCTACCACCTAGGGCGAAGTTGCATACACTTCTTGATGCGTATTTCAACAATGTTCATCCCGTTCGAGTATTCGCATTTGAACATAAGCCTTCCTTCATCCGCATGCTTGACGAAGGGCAACTCGTTGACTCGGCTGATCAAGCTTTACTGCACATCATGTGCGCGCTCGGAGCCAGATTTTACGCATTAGAGTACAGCGAGTCCTTCTCGCCACTCACGAAAGAGCTCATTCAAGCAGCAGGAAGTCAATGGGCGAAAATTGCAGAGGAAATGTTCTTCGCGGATTACGGTACGATATCGATTACCAAACTCAAGGTTCTGATACTACTTCACGACCAAGAAGCTAGGACGGGGAATTATGCTGGATCTTTCCTTCTCACCGGACTGGTTATACGGCTCGCACATGCACTACAACTCAATAACGAACTATCCACCGATGTACTTTGCAAAGAAGAGGGAGCTAGCCCAAATGAGGTTTCTGTGAGAGAGTCTCGGCGGCGACTGATGTGGGCGTGTTATATGATTGATGTCTGGGCTGGGAGTGGGGTCGATCACCTTACGATTCTAAACGAGAAGGACTTAAAGATCCAGCTACCGTGTAACGAGCGGCAATTTTCCTTGCAAATTGCTTGCATAACAGAGAAACTGGAGCCAGGCAGTATATTAGAGTTCATACCTGCCGAAGATATACCAGAGAAGCCGTCAGACAATCTGGGTATGGCAGCGTATTACGTGAGGATTGTCAGTATTTGGCGAAGAGTATTGCGGTAAGCTGAATGAATCGTGCCTGTAGATTCAGCAACTGATATACTTTACACAGATTTGTAAAGCACATGGACGAAGAGCAACCACCCTGGCTCCCTTCCTCTGGTTTCGCCGCCCTGATCGACGATATCCAATCATGGAAGCGCAGTCTCCCCTCCTGGCTCGACTTCTCAGCCGACAACATCTACATCCGGCGCGAATCGCACCAACTCGGTGCCCTCCTGCTCATCCACTGCATGTACCACCACGTAATGTGCGACGTACACCGTATCGCACTCCCCGACCTTTTCAAGAACCAAGAGCCCTTCCTTTTCCCCTCCTCCCAACAATCTTTCGTCGCCCACCTGCAAGACGTGTGCTTTGAACATGCACAGCGCATGTCCGTCCTCGTCTCCACCATTTTGCAACACGGTATCAAACACTTTGCCGACTCCATTCTTCCTTCATTCGTCTACAATAGCAGCCGTATTATGCTCTACTACATCGCACGTCTCCTTGACGTCACTAAGCCCGATGCTGGCACTGTCATTGGGCGCACTATCGAACTCGTTCAGCATAATAATCAAGCTCTACGCGATATGTCGCTCATGTATCCGCTCGCTGAATCCCTGTGTATCACTTCGGAACGCTGGCTTGATACCGTGCGCACGAGTCTGGCGCGCGGCCACGATACGACCTGGATTGCGCCGCAGAATCCGTCGGATGAGAACGAGCCAAGGAGGGTGGTGGGTGCACCAGCCCCTTCGCGCGAAGGGCCTCGTGTTCAAAGTTTAAGTGTCATACCGCCTATGGAGGGAATTCTATGCGCGCCGAGTCCTTCGGCGCATATTCAGACAGCCACGCCAAATGGATACCCGTTTGTTACGTCCATGTCTTCGTCGGAGAATAACACAGAGGGTGCGGTAGCAACAACTACCACCGATACTGCTATCCAACATCAACATCACGCCAAAGCCAACGCCGCTACCCCATCACAAACCCAAATGTCGACTAGCCCATCTGCCCTCTACGCCGCCACAACCCCTACCTCGACAACATTCGAACAACCCATGTTTAACCTGGACGATTTGCAAAATTTCTTTGGCTGGGAGGGAAGCGAGGACGAGAATGCGCAGAGTACGGGGTTTGAAGGGTTCGGGCCGTTGGGGTGGGCGAATAATTTCAGCATTATGTGAGAAGTACGAGTGGGTTAGGAAATGGAATGGAGGGGACCGGGAGAAGGACAATCGCGAGGTGAGATGTATGTTTAAATGAATGACTAGGAGTGAATAATAGCAAATGTTTACAAGAGAGTTTGTCCTCCAATTTCAATGAGAATGTTAGAATGGCTCCTGACTTGGTTGATTCGACCGTATTGACATGCCCACACCATCAATTTCAAAACACCAGTGGCCTTGCCAGTGAATCTGTTCAATGACGCCGTGGGCTTATTAAGTCGAATCGCTTTTCCAGTCTTGCTCCGATGACGTACGTCATCTAGTCAAACGAAGATATGCTCTGGTTGGATTGTTTTTGTGGAACACTTTAAGTGTCGCACCTAGTCGGACGCAATGAATGCAGGCCCATGAAGTAAAAGGAATCACCAACTGATTCTGGTATCTCGTCCCGTAATTCAATTCGGCGGTGAGATGCTGGCCTGGCGATGCCATAAGTTGAAAGGTATCAAAGTTCATATTTCCCATTTCCACAATTGTTTTGTCGATCTTGACTTCCGCATCATACACAACAAGTGGGTCCGTGCCTTGAAGGCGGTTATTGACTTCAAGTGTTTTCCCCTCCTCGCATATCGGGTAGCTATTGGTCGCGCCGAAATAATTCGTTTTCTGAACGGTTGCGCAGTGCGTACCCATTGGGCAAACCTGCGAATGCTGTGGTTCATCGTCACGACGGCCAAGCGCTATATCTCGACAGACCCACCTTCTTACCCGATCATTTGCTCTAATACAGTTTCCGCTGGCCCATCTGTACAGGGCTCCGTCTCGAATGATGCACTGTTGGTCTAGCTCACTGTTTTGGTACGTGCGTTTCGCGAGGTTCAGGTGCTGGCCTTGAATGGTCCGGAATTCCTCAAGTGTAAGGTTGAAGTAAAAGACAGGTTCAGGAAAGTTCTCTTGTGGATCGAGAGTAGACTCGAGAGCATACGAGCCTAGGGCAGTCAATGCAAGACAAAAGAAGGCCTTAAAGAGCATCATGACGGATTATTGTAAAGAGAAACGAAAAATAAGCTGTGGAAGATGATCAATGTAGAAAGTCAAGAGTAAATTGTGTGTGTGTGTGTGAGTGAGAGAGAGAGAGAGGCAGACAGTGTGCCGTTGGTGTGTACCGAAACATGCTACAATTCACCCTGCTTCTGATGTATACATAAAACTAGAGCTCAATCACGTGACACGGATCCTAAGCTACCAGTATGCGCTAAGCTAGTCAATTCATAGGAAAAGCTTCATGTAAATTTGTCAAACGTGGTCGTTCGGTAAAACGAGATTCCGTCTTCGGGCCTCGCTGCGGCACAAAGGTGGATCATGAACGAACTGCTAGTATCAAAGGATGGCACCAATTATTTCGTTGTCTTTTATACCGGTGTGACTAGATTTTTAAACGCTAACAGTCCGTTCAAGGGGGGTACTTGTAATTCTTTGAGACTAGCAGTCAGTTCATGATTCCCCCTTGCACGGTAGCAGGAGATGCCATTTCCGCGCTGACAGTTCGATTAAGTTATATTAATATATAACCAACCACTGTCTAGCTCTTCAATAACATAATCACTCTGTAGGGTACTCATAAGCACTAGAGTAAAAGTTCTACTAGGCAATTTGCCTACATGGTATACAAATCGTACCATAGCATTGACCTCGGTCAACTAACCCTTTCACTTTGACTATTCACTATGGCAAACGGGGTTATTGGCGCAGTGGCCTAGATACTGTGGCCTAATATTAGTACTAGTAGCGCAATGCTCTCCCTTCAGGTAATATTTTCTCGCTATGAAATCAAATTTCAAATAAAACCCAAATTTGATCTGATTTGACTGTTCCCGAGTCCGGCAGTAGAGTAGACATAGTGAGCTATGAATTGCAAATTGTTCACTGTTTTAGATGTTTTTTGTTTGCAGCCCCTGCTTGATTCTTTCTATCACTAATTCTATCAAGAAATGGTTTATGCCTCAGATAAAAGCTGTTTAATATTAACCTTAAGCTTGAACTTGGCAACTCCCTGATGTGATGTGTAACGTGATGCGTGTGGAACAATTGCAATTAGTACATATAGCTGTAACAACAGTAGAGTAACATGAGCTAGATATGCGGGTTTACTCAAACATCTGCCTGAAAGTGAGATCAAAATCTTTGAAACAGAATTTTGAGAAAGAGATAGTTATGAAATCTAGTAATATACATAATATTTACGCCAAGTGGGTTCCTTGATCTGTTTGTCTCAATGGAGACATGCATAAAGCTGAATAAAAAGGAGGCAGTGCCTTGTTATATTCATCGCCATAAAACTTCTAGTTAAAGTCATATACAAGATTGATCATCATTGCTTTACATAGAAGACACGCGTATTGGCAGGAAACCTGGGAGAAAGGGAAAATCTTGACACAAGCGACACCAACAAAACGCCACATAGGAGTGAGTCATCTATCCATCATATTCCTCGATCAATTCAGTAGTCCTGGTTCATCAACAGTGCGCTGTCGCACCTCGTCTCCGGTGACGTCCTGTATCTCCACACGCTCTCCTCATTGTCCGTCGTGTTCTGTGTCGTGTATCCATAACAATGTCCGCCCACCCATCCATTTTTGTTGTCGAACTTTTTCCTCCAACATATACTATTGCAAATCCTATTTTCACCGCGCTCGATTTGTGTACGGTTGCTAATTTTGTACACGGCACAACGGTTTATGCACTCGTCTAGAATTTGTGTCAGGCCGCCAATAGCATACACTACGGTTCACAACCGGTTTACTTAAGCTATAATTATCTAAAGTAGACTACAAAGTAGTTTAAGTAGAAGAAGTAAATATAAATAGAGTTTATAGTAGAAGGTACTCTAGCTTAGTAAACTACTTTTATTTCTACTTCTATTAATTTACTAGTATTACGTAGTAATGCCTAGCTTCCTACTAACTGCTCTAGTATTGTTACCCCTCCTTTCTTAAATCTTCTTCACTACCTCTACCACCACCTCTATCACCACTACCTCTATTATCACCGCCTCCTATTAGTAGAAATATCATGACTTATTATTATGTCATATGTGCGTATAGCGTGAAGCTACTCTTCTCTACCCCTTTTAGTCTTAGTTAGGTATAATAGAAATAAAACTACTTTGTATACTTAATTTAAACCCCTACTATAAAAGTAAACTACCACTTTAGATATGTATATAGGGATAAAATCAAGTCATTTACACCTATACACTAAACCCCTGGACTACCATTCTACTGTAAACTATTTTGTACCGGAGTGATAAGCGACACCGTTCGCATTGAGATAGGACAACTCGCAGACTTTACGAAATTTCATCACACTGTCGCCTGCAGTGACTGAATTGATGGAGTTATTGGAGGAGGGGCAGTCGCGGAGAAGAGTGGATGTTGGTCCGGCCACCAATGTTGTGGACACCGAGGCCGTGGAGGTGGTAGGCGACGAAGTCGCGGATAAGGATGGAATAGCATCGTCAGATGCAGATGGTGATTTGAATGGGCTTTGGGGATCTGTCGATGGGATGCTGCTGGTTATATTGGATGATCGTGATGCAAGAGCCCCGCCTACGCCACCGCCTCCTGCGCCCACAACCACTATTATCGCGACACCTACGTCCTCCTTTTTAATCCGCATACCCTTTATATCTGTTTCTGCTCCTGAGCAGCGGCCTGGCATGACTCTTTAGGTATATCGGCAGTGGCGCCTGAATGAACAGGGATCAGCTAGGGTGAATAGTACGGGTATTTCCTGGCGTCGTCATGTTCAGACTGCGGTACCACCTCGAGACCAGAGTGATCTCCAAAAACCATTGCGATCTATATAATGGAAAGAAATGATGATAGAGATTCTAGAGCAATAAATCCATGAGAAGATCATGATCTTGTAGGCGTTCAGGAGGCTTATCTACCAGTCCAAATAAAGGATTCCGGGCAATCACTGACACAGGGCTGAGCAGCGTGACATTTGGTGGCCAAAAGGCTTGCATGATGACGTAGCATCATACCTCGAATAACGACGCTATCATTCCCCATATTGGCCAAAGGAGGAAGAACGAAAGTTGTACAAGGCAGGACTTTGAAGTCAACCCTTCTGCCACTTGAGTGGCTTGGCTATGATCATGCCCCGCAATCCCAACACGGCCGTTCCACTTGAAAGCGCGATATTTCTTACACTCATCTAGGATGATCTTGTTCGGCCTGTATCACATCTACACGCGTCTGAATTAATCCACAATGAAGGTTATTTCGAAAGCCATGGACACGCATACTGTTGAGAACCACACTACACCAGAACTTCGATTTCCACGAATAGACGAACGAACAAACGAACACATGCCCCCAATTTTCCTTCACCATCCATGCATCTTCGACTTCTCGAACAATATCTCAAATGCCAATCCCTCAAACATCCCCATAAACCCCTCGACTTCTGGTTTCCTCAAAAGCCCCATATGATCGGAAATCGTTCGTTTTACAATGTCCCTCAACCCCCTGTCATGATCAGGCGTAGATTCAAACACATGCACCGCCGCGTCCACAAACGCAGAATGATCCCAGAATTTGTAGCATGCGCGAGAAAACTTTTCCACAGAGAGAGGCTTGAGACCATGGATGCCGTACATGTCGGCCATTTGGTACATTTTGGAGTAGGTCAGGAGGTAAGCTGGGTTGGGGTCGATGTCCATACACTTGTCGCAGCAGTAGGCATGGCATGTGAAGTCACAAACGGGTCCACAATAGTGGTGGTCGCAGACTCTTCGCAGTTTTTCAATGCTGCGGCAGCCAGTGCCAATGGCGCCGCAATTGTGGGGTGCGCGTTGGATGTGGATTGTTTGATTGGGTGGTGGGGGGAGGAGGGGTGAATATTCGGCTTCGTAGAAGTATTGGATCATTCGTTTCACGAGCTCTGGCTCGTCTTCGGAGAGGTCTATCTTGTGCTCTGAGGATTCCTAGGAAGGTGAGTGGTTCAGATGGAGTGGTGGTGGGTTGTCGTGGTCTGACTGACCTTGCCTGGGAACATTATGGCCTTTTGGAAGACGCTAGATCGGGCACATAGGATGACCTTGTGGACGGGGTAGACATCAGTACCGCATATGATGCTGAAATCAGAAAATTCGCTGTCGCCAAGACATCTACTCGCGAGTTTAGCATTGTGCAGTACTTAATCATGTGCCAACGTACTGTTTAATATTCTCTAGAAGCGTCCGGCGCGAGGTCTCAGCCATTTTTATACTTGACGAACTTTAATGTTAAGATTACTGATAATAGAAGCTCAGAGAAAGAAGGACAAGAACAGATCACACCAACTTAAAGTATTCTGGTACGCTGGCTTTGACTTCGATCTCAGCAATATTCGTAGAAGTGACGGTCAGGGTAAAGGCGGTCTGTCCCAGAATTTCATGGTTGTGGGGGAGTGGGCGAGTTGTACACAGTATTGAAGAGAGACTAGGCACCTTAGGCAGTATGCCTACCGGTACTAGCTTCAGTATTATATCGAAGAACCACCGAGCCATTGGTGTTACAAACAAGTGAAGTGCTGGCTATGCGGCACTGGTCCGACGGTCAAACTCGGCACAATAGGAATCTAACGAGCATATGTACATAGTACAACCAACCCTGCATGCTTAACTAAGAGCGAATGATAGTGATTCACAGACGTGATGGGTTCTAGAATAGGTTATCTTAGGTGGCTAGGATCACGTGATAATTTTCAACACTATGTATATCAGCATAGTGTGAATCCCACCAAAAGAAAAGCTGTACGAAGTCGCTTCAAGACCCATTAATACCTAATAACAGCTCTCTGATATATGGTGTGGTAATGTATGTTACAGACGGTGAAGTATTCGCCTACATAACCGCTGCACCCGAAACACGAGATGCAAATAAACATGTGACACCCCTCCCGCCTTACCCGGCACTCCGGCCCAAACCAATCAACCATTCATTTTTCGTCTGAATGAGAACATTTGACTCTACGCTCACGCTTTAAGCTCACGTTTTGAAATGCGGTGTGACCGTAGACTACGTAGTTACTCGAATGATCGTAATCGCGCAGATGCGCCTGCAATGTGATGCGTTCAAAGTAGACAGGCAGCGCATAGCCTTTTGCTCCTGGTGTACATATCGGCATGGGCAGGCACTGCAGAATTGTGATTTTCTGGAGGATCAGAAAAATGTGTGCTTCTGCTCCTACTGTATCCTCAGTCTTAACTCTATGTACCCTGATGCGACCTAACCACTGAAGAAACCCACTTTATCCTTCACCAAAAGCACCGTTCGAACCCCCCAACCCATCCTCCTAACCTCCTCATCCCGATCCTGTTTCCACACTTGCACCATGTCCTGCCCTCGCTCTCGAACACGCTTATCCATCGTGCTTGCTTTGCCCGCCCTCTCTAACAAAATCACCGCAATCTCCACCCTCAGCCTCCTCTCCAGATCATTCATCTCCTTCGTATCTCCAATGTCGCCGAGATAAAGAGCCGTCAGACCACAATGTCTATGCATGATTTGCCGCAGGAGGTCCCGTTTAGTATGATCAATGGATGAATCGCTTTGAGGTTCTAAGTCCAGGTAGGATTTCAGATGGGCGAGCTTGATGTGGTATGCGCTCTCTCTGCTAAGTTCCCGCACCACATTTGCAATTTGATCTGCAAAAACGCGACTTTTGGTTTCACTCTCTGGCATACTGTCTTCTGTGTTTGGAAGGGGAAAATCGAGGAGCATGAGGCGCCAGGGGAAGGTGTTGGGGAGAACGCTTGGCTTGCGTGCGGGATCTGTTTTCCACATTTCTGTGCGGAGAGAGGAGATGTAGAATATCATTTCTTGGAGGAGGGGCTTGCCGTGCGTGGGCCACCAGTGGGATTGCAAGTAATTGCCATGCAAAACGTCGCGCAGAAGGCTGTTGGATATATAGGAAGGCTCGGCGTGGTTCACCAGAGCTTTGAAGAGTATCATGGTTTGCTCGTGGACGAGTTGAGGTGTAATGCCGCCATCTGAGATGGATGCATATGCGTCATATTCCATCTCTACATATGGAGTGCAGATTTTCCCGAGCAGGGCGAAGAGACCGCCTGGGATGATTCGTCGCGCTATGTCGAGACCCTCGTCGTAGAAGGTGAGGTATACTGGGATATCAGATTGAGAGAGCATTGCTGAGATGTTGCGGAGTTTCTTGTGAAGGACTATGATGGCAGAAGGTGGCGCGACAGTGTATATAGCATAGTCTACCAGATCCTTTAGTAGTGTGGACGGGAGAGCACGGAACTTATTGCTGTTGTTGTGTGAAGCCATGGTTCGAAGAAGGAGGAACTCAGTTCGCCAAGGTACAAACGGGAGGTTGAGTTCACGTTCCGCAGCCTCGTCGATGCCGTGTTTGCGGAGGAAGATCGAGACCCAACGTGCCGTTTGTTGTTTCAGTTTCTCAAATACTGGGAAAAGAACACGCTGTAAATAGTCGTCGAAGTTCTTTCCGCTCAATTCCTCACTGCGGACATGCTTCAATAATTCGTGCAATGTCGGTGAAGACGTAGGAACGGGGTCTTGAATCATCCAGCGAATGTTTGGTGGCTCTTTGGTGACTTCTGCTTTCTCCCAGTCGCTCTCACTTATCGGATCACGTTCTTTAAGGTTTCCGGCCTCCCAAACGATTGATTCCAAGATTGTGAAAATGGCGTCCGCGTGGGTTGCTTCATAGCGATCTAGCATATCAAGAAGTGATCTCACAATATTGAGGCGAACATCAGTATGAGTCGCAATTGTCGCAAGTGTTCCGAGAGCCTCAATAGCTGAACCTTCACTAATGACTTTTGTACTGTTTATGAGCCGGATGAGTAGCTTCAGAGTAGTGATCTTAACATATGGGCCTTCTTTCGATTCTGCAATGGCGTCTCCCCCGTGAGGTTTTGTGAAGCTGATAGATTTTCCTTCATGAACATTCTCGACAGATATTGTATCTTGTAAAGAATGATTTATACGGCTTGTCAATTTTCGAAAGCACTTGGCAGCATCCGCCGCAGACAACCTGTGCAAGAAGCTAGGCTTTAGTAACAACCGATGCCACGAGCTCAATCTAGGTTGCTTAGTGACCGTGTCAATTACTAGATCAATTGCGAGGCTGGGTCTATCGCTCTCTCCAAGCCTAACGATTAGTTGCATCGCTACCTCATGATAAATCGGTGTGCCAGAGGTCCACTCTGAGTAATCAAGAGCGCGTATTGCACGCCGAGCAAGGCGATGAATCAGCTCCGGCGGCATAATATTGAGATGACCTCGGATATTTCGCACTGCACTGCGATAAGAAAAAAAATTCCTTGACATGAAGTCTTGACTGAGAGACATCGCGGGATATCGAACGTCTGAACTCGAAGGAAAGGGCGATTGAAGCAAACCGTCTTCGCTGAATGGTCCGTCCAGATACAGTAGAGCGAGTAACACAGCAGCCTCGCTCATGGGCCCGGATTTATCCCATAACTTGATAAGTTCATTCTCGAATGACAATGGAACGTATGCAAGGTGCTTGAGCGGAAGGGTGTCGCCGATAGTTGCGGGATCGTGCATGGCAAGGGATACTCCAACAGAAAGATCGATGTACGTCGGTGTCTCAAGCTTTTGTGGGAAATTTGTGAGTCCTTCTACCTCTAAAGGATTCCAGACCACTAGAGCCCCAGAGTCACTGGAATTTGGTAGTATTGGCCATACCGTGGTATTACGGACCTCTTGGGGTGGCCAGTCTGCAGGAATGTGTGTGGCTACGCGCTTCCAATACCAAACACCGTCGACCTTGTGTACTCGGTCATGACTTAGAGGGCCTGTGGCATATTTCCACACCTCTTTGGCTCGTTCCTGTCTTACTGTTTTGGTGCAGCATTTCGGGATATATAGCTCAAGCGCATACTTGTAGCTATCAACAAAAACTCCAACACATTCTTGCGACCTTTTGTCCGCAGGAACGACTTGGAAAGCCAGTTGCTTGTCAGGAGTTAATGTTTTCTTGACACGGGACGATAGATATGGAGCAAAGATTTCGAGATCTTCCACATCAAAAGTCCATCGTGGAATAAGATGTTGGATGGCTAAACCACGAGGTAAACAATCTGGCATCGTGCTCAAACTAGGATGAGCAGAAGCTCGTAATCTGGACCATAGCGCATCCCTCGACTTTGCAAGCTCGTCAATGAATCGCACTGCTGGGATGTTGATCACATCGATCTTGAGCTCTTCAATCTCATGTGAGCCATGTGCAAGTAGACCTCGAAGGTCATTCGCCCCCAACTTCTTGCAGGCCTCAGAGTTGGCCTTTTCCTCGACGGTAACTAGCATCTGCACGGTACTGCTCCAGAAACAGTCAAACAGATCCTCTTTCGCACATTTAAGCGTCTGTAGTAGTACGGTAGTAAGCTTGATACGTTCATTGACTGCTCTTCGAAAAAGTGACAGTACGCCGTTCCAACCTGGTGCATTAAATGATGGCTGAATCATAGCGGCGCAAGCTGTATCGAACATGCCTGAAAGTATCAGATTTGCCTTTTCAACACCGTTCCTTATTTCAGATATCGTTGATGAGCTGTCGATGGGTTCAGGAATACCAGAAAGCAGTCTAACGGCTTCAGAAGGGTACGTTTGCGGGTACAGCTCGCGGAGCACAAGTGGATCGTTCATGAACCGCTCTGCCCACTTTAGAGTATCGGCGTAGCAGTCCAAAGACCCACTAGCGATTGCAGCAAACAGTGCCGACTTCGCCTGGTGACCTCGTTGCTCAGGCTGGGACGCAATTTTGGCACTCTTTTTCCGACCCTCGATGTACTCATTTGCGAGTGTGAGTGCTGTGGCATGATCTCCGCTTTGCTTTAGGAGATGTAGATGCCATATCTGCGTTTCGCGAATAGCCACATGATATGCTATGCCCAAATGTAGAACAGAATCATAGCTTGAGCCTTCCAAAAATGCGAAATCACCTCGTACCTTTCTTACACGATTGAAAAATTCCAAGGCTTGAGTAGGTCCTAGCTTGGCGAGTAAGTCGGCACTGAGGCCTCCTTTGAGTTTTTCAAGATCAGCATCGATATCGATATCGAGGCCTGTAGATGCCTGGATGCAGAAACGCATCAAGGCGTAACGATGCTGAGGCAGTGTTCCGGAGAGAATTTTGCCCCAACATGTGAGTGTATCCAGACTTTTGATGCCGTCAACGAGATGGTTGAATAGTGCTCGCAATTGCGATTCGAAAAGCTGGGGCTTGCGCGACCAACAGCAAGCGACAAGATGGACTATGTGCTTTTCATCCAGGTTGATCATCTTTCCAGCTGTGGGGTTCTTTCCGAAATACTGAAGTGTCAGATGCACAATATCCAGAATCATGTCCCATTTCACTCGCTTGCGTACGGCACGATTGAGCAGAGGCTGAATGATAGTATTGACGACGAAGGATTCATCAATTTTGCTATTCTCCAGTGAAGCAAGTGTTCTCAGGCAGTCAAGAGAATACTTCATTGAGTTTGAAAAGCCATCACTCGGCGAGACCGTGGTACGGTACCGGTTGGCAAGTGATTTGATGTGCTCTCGGTCGATGGCTTTCATTTCCTCATTCTTGAGTCTCGACAATTGAATCCGCCCCAAACATTCTGGATGATGCTCTAGGAGATCTCTTTCCCTTGCATGCTTTCCGATTCCTTTTGCCCCTGCTGTCAGAGCGAACTCGACCAATTCCTCGGAGCAAGCTGGAAGTAAGAGACCGTAATGCTTCGCTAATGGTCTCTGATCGCTCGTCTTATATTTGGTGTTGACGTATGTGCTTGGATGGAGCGCTTTGAAAAGTGCAGTGATACAATCTCTCTTCTCTTTCATGTCCTTGCCCTTGGCACAACGACCGAGTATCTGGCACAATTTCTTAACGTGCATTACCGACAAACCTGCAAGAATGCCAAGGATCCCGGGAATATCTCCAACCCCAGTCCACGCATCTCTCCATGCCGCTGAATGGAGTCGCCTTCGAAAGTGTGCGATGGCGAACTGTCGGACGATGGCTGAATGATCTTGGTGCAAACCCTCTCGTATGACCGTGGGTGATTGAGTGATGCCTAGCCATACATCGAAATTGGAAGGGGAGACGGAGCCAAACTCTATTGCTCTCAGCAGCTCTGCTGTAATAAGTTCATCGGAAGCTTGGGCTCGGAGTTCCTTGTAGTATTGACATAATTGAGCCGGCGTAGAGGCACGGATGCGTTGGGCGTCAAGTACTGTATTCATGGCGTTGGAGAAGATGTTACAACAGTAAACTACAAACTGCCAAATATATTGTTTCTGTTGGTGTGTCTACTTGTACAATGCTAGCCTGCCTAGTCGTTGACAGACCCACAAGGCTGTGCAGTACCGTAGTCCACCACACTTGCAACGATCTGCAATTAGGCGAGCCGTACAGTGGCGAAGGGCGGTACACAAGGCTACCCCGCGCCCTTCGCTTGTAAGCGGCTGCCTGATATGATCCGCGGACTTGAATTGAGAGATAGGCATAGATTCACACGAGGAAAAAGTTGAGATTATCAAGTCTTGCTAAAAGGTGGCCACAACTGTGAATGGTATATCAGTGACATGGCGGCACAGGAACGAGATGGACAAATGGTACATAGCTTATGACATTGGGGTATATAACCATGCTCTCACTGCGCTTTGCCAATGAACCAATAAAATAATACTAGATTGCGTCTAACGCATTCATCGGAGGGTATAAGTGGTGAATGCATGCTTGAGCGCACATGTGTGCGGCCAAAACCATTATGTACGACCGCAGATTCAATTGCGCTTCAAGCACCTCTTGGGCCATTCGTGGGTCCTTTGTTGACAAGGCCTGAGAAGAAAGAGCGGAGCTTCTCGTTGCTAACCAGGGTTGGATCCTGAGTTTTCGTAGTTGGCGTGTCCGCGTCATTGGCACGGGTTGCTTCACGATCCTGTACATGTTTTAGCTGTGTGGGCCTCATCATGGAAATGGCACAACGTCATGCATGGCGCAATAACATACCTGCAACCTCTTGACCATGTCGTCAGCATTCACTTGAATACCACCCATGTTGAACTGCACAGGCCCAATGTGATCTTCGACAATGCCAGACGCATCATCAGCCCATGTCCGGTTTGCTGCTGGATCGTGCTCCTTGCGAGCAGCTTTGAGTGCAGCTTCGTTATCGTCATCGCGCCGCAGTTGCTCCAGAACAGCGACTTGCTCTGTAAGGAATACCTGTGCATCCTTGCTGGATATCTCCAACGTGTTGGTCTGCTTTGCCAGGCCTGCCAATGGGAAGTCAGATTCGGGGTTGCGTATGGTGTCCTCGTAAATTGAGGTAGCAGATGGGCCTTCTTCCTCCTCGTCTGCTGTAGGCATGGACTCTTGGTTTGCCTGCGCTTCGTCTTCGGATGGCGGCAATGCCTGACCATTCGTTAGTCGCATATGTCGCGGTATGTCGATATCTACGCTCCATTTTTGGCTGATACCCTCAACGTCGAAACCCTCGCGCAGAATTCGAATCTTGGCCCATGAGTCCCAGTTCGGCGGTACCAGGACACGGTCACGATCAGTTACATTGTGTCGCAACTGCTCTTGTTTCAACAGAGATTTGATGCCAAGTGTCGAGTGTATCAGTGTCCGAAGAGATCCTGGCGCAGTAGGCATGGTGTACACCAGACTCGATCCGTGCTTGAGCAGAATTGTGCGCAAGTACTGTAGTATGAAGTCAAATTCCTCTTCTTTCCAACCCCTTTCCTTCTCCAGCGACTCGATCTTGTCAGCGTTTTGGCAGACCACACAGAGCGGTAGACCGAGCGGCTCGTCCCACTCCCCAGGACCCATGGGGATCTTGACGCCGTCCATGGTGTTACCTTCCGAAGCCAAATTACGCCCCTTGTCTTGCAGCATCTGTATGTTCTCTTCCAGGACTACTTTTGAGGCATCGTCAAGCGAGAGAACCAATGATCTCAGCACCCGTATCCAGTCTCGAAGCTGCCGTATCCATAACCAAGGGTGGTTCCAATCGAGCAGTATGACTATGAGCATGTGTGGTAGCGTACGTGGGTTGAGGTAGGGCTTTATTAAGGGGGTGAAAGACGGCGAGGGATTTGCGAGGAGGTACAGCGACAAGCGGGCGAGAGTATCTGCAGCGGTCAGCGTCTGATTTCCCTTGTATAGTGAAGGAATTGCAACCTTCGTGATCGGTGTCTAGCACATCCTGATACGTGTACCCAAGCGCAAATTGGTTGGCGATGGGAGGCTTCCGCCCTCGGTCTGGCGGCCTACGATTACTATCCGTGGACACTGATTCCAAGAATTCTCGCTGTGTCTCCGGTGTGCCCCCTATGTGCTGGTCAGTTCAGTCTTTTGCACGGCTTCCCCTTTCGACCAGCATACCCAGCACAAGCAAGCTCTTCTCTGGGAGTCGCTTCCCGCTTGAGATATTGTCCAGCATGGGCTTCCATATTTCCTCCCTGTCTCCATCTCGGCTGTCGGCGCGGTGGTGGCTTCCCGGCAACCGCGTGGGGAAGTTGGGAAGGCGGCGCGCGCTCATTGCGGAGGTGGTGCGGAGGTTCGACACGTACAATCGAGAATTGGCCTACGCACGTTGTGTCATGAGATCAGTCCAGGCTGATGGGACTGACAGCGAAGGGCGGAGAGGGAGAGGGGAACCAGGAGTGATGCGCCCACGAGTGAATGTCAAGTGGGGCGGTGAGGCTGTTTGGGATGATGCACATGTGTTTACCAATGGCTTTTCGGTCGTGCTTGTGCTGCTGGGCTGGTTGGGACCCTGCCAAGCCCAAGCTACAAAAGTTGCCGGTACCTCACTACCCCGACGCGACCTCACGCCCTCCTCCGCACCAGCCAGCCAAGACGGTTACGTGACAACAGGCTATACACATCTACCTGCTCTAGGTAATCCAACTATCTAGCCTTATCTACAATTCGAGACTCGAAGCATCAATCTGCCGCTTGGATACCCACGTAACCATGAGAATTTAAACCACCACTCGAATCCTTCACTTAGAGACGCCCTTCCCACGCGACTACCCCTCCACTCACTCGCACTTTCCATAGAGGCATTGGCGTGATGAACTCAGTGCGCAACATCCAGCAGCTGAACAAGCGCGAGCTCGAAGCGGGTATCAATCCAGAAGCCTCTTGGCATACCGACTACCGCGACACGGCCTTCATCTATATTGGTGGTCTCCCCTTCGAGCTTTCTGAGGGCGACATCATTACCATATTCTCCCAATATGGCGAACCTGTATGGATTAAGCTCGCAAGAGACAAGGAAACGGGCAAGTCGCGGGGGTTTGCCTGGATCAAGTATGAGGACCAAAGAAGCTGCGACTTGGCTGTAGACAACCTAGGCGGAGCAACCATCATGGACCGAGTGATCCGGGTGGACCACGCCCGCTACAAGCCCAGAGACGACGAAGACATGCGCGACAACACCATGGGCGAACTTGACCTTGACCCAGGTCAGGAATCAGATGCTGGTAGACGGAAGCGGAGGAAGACGGAAAGCGAGAGTGACTCAGACGAGGATCGGCCAATGTTGCCCGAAGAAATTGAGATGGAGCGTTTGGTAGAGAAGCTCGATGAGGAGGATCCCATGCGCGACTCGCTAATCAAGCAGCAAGAAGAAAAGGTCACTGAGGCATTAAAGAAGTGGAAGAAGCAGCGACGCAAAGAGAAGGAGCGAGCACGGAGAAAGGACAAACATCGTCACAGAGATGGCTCACGCGACCGAGATAGGCGAAGGATCAAAGATAGGGAGGGAGATAAAGACGACAGACATTCCAGACACAAGGACGAGCGCAGTAGGAGCCGTGACAAGTACATGGATAAGGGAAGGCGGAGACCAAGAAGTAGAGATGTCTCAGAGGGGGATCGCGACAGAAAGAGACCCGATCGGTCACATGAAAGACAGGATGAGCGAAGAAGTAGACGTGATCGCTCCCGAGAGCGTGAGCGACGTCGATCCCGTTCTGTTGAGAAAAAGAAAGAGCCATCCCGTTCTGAGACGTCACCACTCCCTTATCGCGCTCGCTCTCCTCGATGATTCTAGCAACCCCAAAGTACGGCTTCAGATGCGCAGATGCGGATCTGCGACCGAATGCTCATGTATCAATGCACTAATATAGCCCATCATTGACCCAAGTCCTTCATCCCTTGGCCAGATCTCAGCAGTACTTGTAGCACTTGCATCCAGGCCATTGTCTCCACAACTAGATCCTGCACTCTACATGATCTTGAACTACTGCAGACCGCTGGAGTCGTAAGACCGTGGCAAAATGAGACAACATCAAAAGAGCGCAGGCCGCGGGTAACAAGCACAATAAAGACGACCATGTTTTGGGCGATGGTATTATTCAAAGTTATACTCCTAGACTCGAATAAGGGTATTTCTGGATGGATTGTTCAAACACTATTTTCCCATCCGAGAAGCATTTACCAATTTAATGTAATCTAAGCAGCGACCTGCATAGAGAGGTATGGAATGATCGGCACTTTCTTAGCATCCTGGACTATTCTCGGGAAGCAATCTGAAGAACGCGCCGCCATTGAGTCTCCAGCAAGACTGGAATCTACAGTCGATAATTGGGAGAACTACGCATGTAATTAGGTATTATGGCCATAGCAAGGTTTTAACTAGTGTCACTCAACCTAGACGCCGATATCCGGGTAAACTAGAGCAACTTAGCACCTGATATTCTGAATGATATGAGCATCTATAGTGAGGATACGAGTGAGAGGAATCAATGCAAGTTGTACCGGCACCCTGTTCTGTTTGCTCTAACACAACTTTGCTAACCTGATATGGACTTTCACCTGCATATAGCGTGGTACACAACAAGCAAGCAAACAAACAGTCAAACAATATGAAGATCTTCACGTCTTATTGCCAGATCATCTACCGCTTCTCCTCTCACACTCCTTACAATCTTCTCCCGCATTCATAACATCCTTCATCGAACTCACTCCGGTCCTTACCCAAATGGCCACTCTGCTAGCGAGTCCGATGTCATACACTCTATCACGCTCACTTACCGCCTCACCCTTACAATCACTGGGCCTCCCTCACACTCACACAATCTACACAATACAAATAGCTCCTCAGTGCTACCAGTAATAACTAACCGTTTGTTACACTGCGTCTCCAGCCAACAACGCAGTCCACGCAACTAAGCCAGCAACTTCGAATCCATCGCGTACATGTAGTAACCTTTGAAACCTTCCACCTCCAGTATCGCAGCCTCTTACTTGGCATACACCCTTCCTTCCTTCGATGCGAGAAACCGCGTCCCCATCACCCCACTATCTTGCAAGCAAGACAAGTCGACTCCGTAATTCTGCGCAGAGGAAGTAACCTGCAAGGCTGCAGCTACTGGATCTAACGATACTATCATATTGATCTCTGGTGAAGATCCGCGTAGCTCATGTGCTCACTGCTGGTAGTCGTGCAGTGATGCCGCAGCTAAGAGACAGAGACCCGCTGGCTTGAGCTATGCAATTATGGATACCTGGCGTTTGGATTTGGTTCGGAGAAGTAAGAAGTCGAAACTGAGGGGAGTATTGGCTCAATTTAAGATGATGTGCAGTGGCTTCATTCGGAAGTCCTGGATACCAAACGCCAGTGTTAGAAGGGCAGCCGCCTACGAAACTTCCCGTGGCGAGTTAGCTTTGCTCGGAGTTTTCGTTCATGGGAGTTTTCTTTGCGTGTTGGCACCTAATGTTGATCTTGCGAAGTTGATTGAAGTCGACGCACAAAAAGAAGTAAAGGAGAAGGTGAAGGAAAAGAAGAAAGAAAAAAATCCAATCCCAACCGTCTTTCAATTCAACGCAGAAACCTCTGCATCTGCAGCAAGAATCGACACTCTCAAACCAATCCAACATTTTATACCAGGCATCACAACATCCAACAAGCGCATCGCTCTCGATGCTACATTTTCGGAACCCCCTGATCTCGCATTACCATCACCGCCACGACCACTAGCCCAAAGAAAAAATGTCCCAGAAGATCATCAGAAAATAGACAGAAAATCCAATATCTGGACTTGACAAGTCAATCCATCCACCCACGCCCGTCTCCGACATCTCCCAACCTAACCGCGTGAACCCCACTTCCCTCACCAAACCAGAAAACGCCTACCCCGCTTCCCGACCCGCGCCTCTAGTACCACTTCCATCCAGTGCAGGACACGAGTTCCTGGAAAATCCATCTTGTCGGAGGTTGTCGCTCTTTATCTCTCTTTAAAAAGCAATATATAAAGGATAAAATGAGATTTCATCATCGAAAAGTCGATTTGGTTCGATGGTGTAGTTGGTTATCACGTTCGCCTCACAAATTTGCTGTGCGCGAAAGGTCGGGATTTCGAGCATCCCTCGAATCATACCTTTTTTTCCTTTTTGGGCTTTGTTCTCTGCGCTTTTCTTTTTCATAATGCATCCGCTTTTTACGTTTTCTATTGGCTCCTCTCTGCTTTCGATTTCTTTTCTTTCTCTCTTTTCTAGCCCAGCTAAATGCAGTTATGTCATCTTGAGAGAGTTTTCAGCAATATGGTCGGAAAACAAAGAGGAAATGTAGGAGTGCAGAGGACGAATTTGGAGGGGAGCCCATGTGTGCATCGTCTTCACCAAATTACGCTTTTTGAATTGTATACATTCAACGCAAGCATCTATTGACCAAACTACCATGAGATCTGATAAATAGTTAATAGTAGTGGTTGTATAATCCCTAGTTCGATGTCGAGATTTGATGTTCTGTGCGCATTCGGTGAACGGGTCCATCAGGGGAAATGTTTTTGCACCCTCTGTTGTTTGTGTTTGCATGTTAAACCAGAGAATAGCACGTTGACGCGCAGTGTGATGTAGCTCCAGAGATCTTTGGCTCTGTAAGGCTACGACTAGGGTGGTGCTACATACCGGTATGTATTTGGGATCGTAACTAGTGGAGGCAAGGATATGAATTCCTGCGATGATCGCAAATCTTGGAAGGGACCACTCCAGACGTTGCCAAGGTTGACGGTACCGGTACCTACCGGCCAGAACAATCGTGAACTGCAAACCAACCCCCTCTTCAGTTCGTACCATTCATCAAACCCCCCCGCTGTGTTACCCGTTGAAGTAGGCCAACTCTATCAAGATCCTCAGCAATGACATGCCAGCAATTCAAAGCCTTGAATCCAGTTCCGTCTCATCGCGGCGATGGGCAGCCCTGAGGGCCCGGGATCCGTCAGCCAATTCTGCCTTCTTCTACGATGTCACGACCACGCTGATCTGCTATCGCCCAACCTGTCCCGCTCGTCTCGCTCGGCGGTCCAACATACCCACTGCCCTATACGCAGGCTATCGGCCGTGCAAGCGATGCGATCCTTGCAATTCAACATAGCATCGGGACATGCAGAGCAGGAATGATTTGATACAGGCGCAGCATTTCATCTCGGTCGCTGTGGTGGAAGGGAATGATTGGACGGTTGCGGAGATTGCTGCAAAGGTTGGACTCAGCATAGGCCATTTGCACCGTCTGTTCAAAAAGTATTCAAATACTACACCGAGAGACTTTGCCGCCGCGCAGCTCCCAGTACATCGTGCTCAGAACGAAAGCCAGTTTATATCCAGTGGAAGTCTGGATAATCTCTCCATGGGTCCAGAGCCATCTGTCGTGCAGTCGATATCAGAACCACTGTTATGGCTCCCCTGGGATAGCTGGACAAGTGATTTGGAGCGACTGAGTCTGCTACGTCTGGGCCATCAAATTCTTTTGACTCAGCCGACGCCTGGACATGGTTATATTTCCACTCTTTTCCTCTTGAATGATTTGACAGAGCGGACTATCATACAAATCCATAATCACTTCTCTCAACAGCCTCACATTATACAGCTGATCTCGTTGACATGGGTCCTTAGGCAGTGTGACTACCAACTGTCCGCACAAGTTTTGCAAGTCATTTCCCTTTCAAAAGACTCTTTCTGTTCTTCCAATCGGCCGTCTGATGATCGAGCTCGGACGACCGGCTCTACAAAGTCATGTTTGAAGCAGACAAAACCATTCATAGCATCAGCAAACTCCGAGCTCTCAAGACTGAAATTGAGATGAATTCCACATACGAAATCCCCAGCGTCACCCCTACCATACAAAAGCCGCTTGACACATTCTCCGTTTACATCAAGGCTGTGATGTCTTGAACGTGCAGGCTGAAAGCATTGCACGATTGCAGTTGACGAGAACATGGACATTGCCGGGTCTGGTGCTATCAAACTAGATATTTGGATATATGGGGTTAGAAAAGATGTCAGAGGCCATGGGCTTTTATCTACACTTGTTTGAATCTAGAGCTTTGGGACTTTCTTCACAGGCCAGATAGGTGCTTCGACTACAAGAGACGAATCGCAAAGCAAGGCGTGCTCTGATTGGTCTGTTTGTGGTCATCTCCTTGGCGTGCACTAGGCAGGTTGGTGGTGATTGGCTGGTATGGCATCAGTGTCGAGTGTAATTGGTCAGTTTCGCATCACTAAATCCACAGATAGTTAGGGGCTAGTCTGGAGGGCGCAGTTCATATGACCATGGAATTAGCGCTGCGTGAACTCGTATTTGGCATAGGGTTAGGCCGTGCCAAGCTCCACTAGCTAGCTAAGCGAGGTTAACTAAATATTATACTGTAAGATTTTGCAACGTATTCTAAACCTGTTCTAAACATATTCTATACTAGTAACACTATAAGCTACTACCACTATACCTATTACTAACGTATCCCTCTTATCCTACGTAAGCAGATTAAAACGTGTTTAGAACGTGTTCTTAACAGGTTACAGAAGTACTATTAATAGTACCTTACCCTTAGCCGCGTCCTAGATAATATTAGGGCATGGCCTGTGGTTAGCCCTAATAGGGCAGTTAAGATAGAGAGTAGAGAGCGCTACTACTATACTAAGATTAACAACGAGGGCACCTTGTGTAGAGTAAGAATAGGTTCTAAACGTGTTCTAAACAGGTTCTAATATTCTTAGGCTATTCTAGGTACTAGGGGCACTCTATGTACCTATGCTAAAAAAGATTATAGGCTTAATATAGCCTACTATAAGGTTAGTAGGGTTAAGAAGACTAGCTAGCCCTCTATAATAGAGGTCTATAAGGCAAAGAGTAAATATATTATTAACCTATTCTTAACTTATTATACTAATATATATAGACTTCTATATAAAGGTTATACGTAATTACTAGAACACTCCTTGCTATAAGTTATTTAGAATATATTTAAAACTTGTTACTAACGTGTTTTATAGAAGTTCTCTAAGCCTAGCTAGTAGCTACTATAGGCCCCCCTGTAAATGCTAATACCCTCCTAAATATAATTTAGAAGAAGACTTGTAGTAGCCGCAATAGTAATAAGGTACAGCCTGCAAGAACCTATTAAAAACACGTTGCTAACTTGTTATAGCTTAACTTTATTACTATATCTACCCTACTAAGGATTTAAGGTTATTAGGTTCCTTATACTATCTACGCTTGCAATTATCCTAGCTATAGTAAGTTGTTTACAATATATTATTAACCTATTCCTAACGTGTTTTAAGACTGTTACTTTAATGCTAGTGTAGACCTTGCTAATTCCTGCTAGAATACTACCTAGTTCCACTTGCGGTATGCTTTTGTAGAGCCTAGGGAGGATAGGGAGGATAGAGAAGATACTAGAGAGGGGGAGGGAGATAATAATAGTAACAAGTAGGAACACGTTAAGAACGTGTTAAGAATAGGTTCTAATAAATAATGTATAATAGCATATAACCTAAAGGGGTAGTAGTAATTGCTAAAATAAACTCTCTACTCTTCTCTTTTTTTTTCTATCTACTAAAAGTAAAGTACTATTTACTTTTATAGGGTCCTTTAATAGTATATAACTTTTTCTTTTAACTTTTATAGGTATTATAAAGCTCTAGCAGTCCCTTAGATTAAAGAAGAATCTAGTATTTATAGGTGTCTAGCTATAACGTATTATTAATATATTCTAAACATGTTTTAAGAGACTAGACTTATATCTCCTTTTTACTACTTTCGCTAAATATTATTTACAGTGTAAAGGGGAGCAACTATTTGCTCCTCTTCTTTACTCTCTGCTTCCTGCTTTAGCCTCTACTCTAGCTACTACTTCTTATTATAGACTAGCTATCTTAGAGGGTTCTTAAACCTTAGAGGAGGCACTTAGTACAGTCTACTCTACTAGCGGAGAACGTATTATTAACGTGTTTAGAACACGTTCTTAAGCATTTACTATTAAGCTCCTATAGAAGATCCTTGCTTCTGTAATACCTTGTATTATAGTTCTGCTACAGTTTACTAGGGCTATTTAAACCTTAGGATAATACCTCTTAAGGTAGTAGATAAGATTGCCTCTATTAGAGAAGCAACACTAAAATAGTTGTTAATATATTATAAACGTGTTCTAACTCGCATGCATATATACTCTACAAAGTTCCTATACCCCTAATCTAGCCTAAATAGCCTAGCAGAAAAGCTCGCTAGGAAATACTATACACCTATTATTTAGGTAGGATGTTATAGGAGAGAATGCCCTAGTATTAGATAGAAGTGACTTAAGCTTAATATATTACTAGTATAAATCCTACTTAGTGTTAGAATAAGTTTACAACGTGTTCCTAACGCGTTCTATTACATACTAACTTTAAAAGATCTTTGTAGACTATATTAACTAGTTATATCTAATAATATTAGGAAAGATAGATAGTAAAATAGTATTAAACTCTTAAATATAAAAAGTTCTTGTAGAGTGTAAGAAGAAAGAAGAAGAAAGAGAAGAAGAAAGAATATATATTTATCCGCTTATATATGCTTACGTGATAGACTAGAACATGTTAAGAACTAGTTAGGAACTAGTTACTATATTTGTAGACTAACCCTACCTTGTATAAAAAGTAGCTATCTCTTTCTTAAGTTTAAACTGTGCCTTTTGCAATTTAAATAGTGCCTTTTTCTATGCAAGTTCTTCCTTATCTACCTCTAGCTTTTCTTTTCTCTCCTTTAGAGCCTAATTACTAAGAAGAGCCTTTTGTTGTAAAGTTTGTAGTTATAGACTAATAATAAGTTAGGAACATGTTATAAACGTGTTTTGCAAAGCATACCTTTAGGTTGCTATTAGTAGAGGAGAAGAGCCTAGTGGTAGAGAAGATAGAAAAGGGGCTAGTAAACTTCTTTCTAATACCGCTCTACTACTTGCCCTCTAGCTTTAGGCTTTTAAGCGTGCTCTTTTATTTCTTATTAGGACTAAGATATATCTAGTTAAGTTAGATATAGCAAGACTTGCTTTATTATTATCTAGAGTGTTATTATTATTATAGGACGCGTTCTAAACACGTTCTAAACACGTTTTAATTAGCAAATGTGCATAACACTAGCGTAAGACTTACTTTCTCCCCTCTAAAGCTTTTTAAGGTACCTTTACTTAAGCCTATTAGGAGTTCTATAGTTATAGCGTATTCTAAACTTGCTCTAGGCTTTAAACTCTTTTATATCCTATAGATCTATCTAGTGTGCACTACACAATGTTACTTATACAATTCTAACAGGTTAAGAATAGGTTGTAAACTTACTTCTAAGTAGCCTTAAGAATACTTATATGCTTACTAGTTTTATATCCTTTCTAGCCTGCTTGCTTAGCTGTATTTAAATAAGATTCTAGTTTTTCCTATACCTCTTTTAATATTTTACTATAGCATTGCATAATCCTAGCAGTAATTACTAGGTTTTTCTTATAGATTGCCTAGTTTTAGGCATCTTTAGAGGGTTCGTGTTCTAATTATGTAAGAACAAGTTAGGAACATGTTTAGAATAGGTTTAGAATATGTTTACTTATATAAGAGGAGGTTAGCAAGCTAAAAGTATTCCTCTACTATTAATGCCTGTAGTAATTCACTTAGACGTAAAGAGGTAGTATTATCTAGCTCTCTTTTACATGCTTTATAAATACTTCTTTATAGATATACTTAACAAAATCTTATACAAGATTAAAGTTGCTAGCGCTAGTTACGCTTGTAGGGATTAATTAACTAGAGATAGCGCCTAAGTCCTAGAAACAAGTTAGAAACACGTTACGAACATGTTATAGTGCGCTGTGAAACTTACCTATTATCTGCTTGTTGCATATATTAATAGTAGTCCTATAGAATCCCTATAAGTAAATATGCCTCTATAACACTTGTCTTTTTATAAGTGCTTTATACTTCTAAAAGAAGTTAGTAATAGTAACTTAATATATCTTAGTTATATCCTTATCTATAATAATTTAGCTAAGTGTAATAACTATAACGTGTTAGAAATGTGTTATAAACCTATTCTTAATGCGTACGCTTCTTTTCCTGCAGGTAGAAGATTACTATTAGAATCTCTGCCTATGCCCTATATAACCTCTTATATAACATATCTATCTAGAATATGTCTTAATCTAATAGAATTAATACCTACTCTTTAAAAAGGCAAATAATTAAGTTACCTAAGCTTAATATAAAGATTTGCTGTATATACGCCTGTAGTAACGTGTTAGCAACGTGTTCTAAACCTGTTCTCTTACACCACGTATAGTTTTAGGATCCTAATGCTTTATCCTCCACTTATAGTGTACTCCTCTAAGGCTACTCTTAAATAGGAACTATAGAAGCTTTTTACGCTTTATAATACGCGAGATTTTATCTTTATTTGCAAAGCTAATATGCATTTCTTTAATAGAATAGAAACCTTTAAGTTAGAGATAGGTTTAGAGCTAGGTTAAGTTTAGGAACTAGGCTATAACAAGTTAGGAACATGTTTGTAACAGGTTGCAAACAACTTATATTGCGTAAGCTACAGAGTAAGCATAGGCTATAATACCTTTACCACTTCCTTAATATTACTATTAGATAGTGTTAAGGGAGGAGGAGGTATATATGTATGTATACTAAAAGAAATAATAGTAAAAAAAGGTATTGCTACTATATCTATTAGTATAATTACTTAGAAGGTAACTTTATACAGGATTTTAAACAGAGATCCTTGCCCTTATAGATAATTAACGCCTAGAACATGTTAGGAACGTGTTAGGAATAGGTTGCAATATGCCTACCACACTTCTTTATCTAGCTTAACTGTGGCTTAACTATAGAATATAAAGCAGGACTACTAGAAAGATTTAATATCTCCCTAGTTAGAAGACCTTATAGATATGTAGAGTCTACCTCTAGTGGTACCTAACTAAAATAATGTTTTTTCCTAGTAGTAGATATTAGGCTATAGTTCTAACAGCTAATGTATAGTTAAGCCTGTTCTATAATTTGCTAACTTGTTATTAACACGTTTTAAACATGTTTAAGTTTTGCTCCCTACCTAATTTACTGTAGTCCTTATTATAGGATAATAAGACACCTAGTAGTCCTTATAAATCCTTAAAGAGAAGCGCTTAATAAGGCTATAATAATAGCTTCTTGTTTGTAGTTCTCTTTATAGAATTTTCTTAGGTACTACACTTTTTAAGGTTTAGATCTGATTGTATAATGCATTATTAATAACGTAATAAGAATATGTTTATAACGTGTTCTTAAGATACTTACACGCTTTTACCCTAGAGTATTAGTATTTATACTAGCTTGCTAGCTAGCTATTAAAGAATAGTAAAGTTATAGGCCTATTAAGATAGATAGACTAGCGGGAGTATTATACCTACTAGAATTAGAATAATTTAAGAACGTGTTCTTAACGTGTTACCTATATAGCCTGCATAAGCACCTCTTCTCTTATTAGGTAAGAGCTATCTTTATATTGCTAAACTAGTATTATATACCTATACCCTTAGCTATATAATTAAGGGTATGCTAGGAGAATAGCTGCATGCTTAATAATTACTAGTGTAAGTAGTAGTCCTTAACTATTACTATAAGTAAGGTATACATTGTGCCCCTATAACGTGTTACTAACCTATTCTAAACTTGTTCTATTTACTTTTACTTACTTCCTTAACGCTACTACTACTATCCTCCTCTAGCACTTTATACAGTTGCCTAAATTTATCTCTAATATTACTATCTAGTTTAGATACATTATCTAGTACTACTATACTAAACTCTAGTATAGTATTTAGGAATGCCTGTATATTATTAAGAATAGGTTTAGAACATATTTAAAAAAGATAGTAATAAAAACTGCGTTTACTTGCTTAAATTACCCTAATTTATACTCGACCATAGGCTAGTTTATATAACTATAAAAATTTGCCGCTGTGACGTGGACTTGAACCTACAGGGATATTCTAACCACTCGGAGTAAAGCCCAAGTCGCCCGACGCTAAACCCATGGTCATATGACATGCCACCACGCTAGTCTGTAAGCTACTTGCGCGGAACTTCTATCATACCGGTGCCCTCCAATACAACTCTGGCCGTTTGTCGGTGCAAAAGAAATCCGTCAGATATTAATTGAAACCACGATTGACACTCGAGACCAAACATGGACAGTCCTGTCGCAGCAAATGTTTTTGGAACGTTGGGAGCTGTGCTTTGGTCGCTTCAGGTTCGATGCCCATTATTCCTGGATTGTCTTCCCTGACATTTGCTAATGAAGGAGATAGCTATTACCTCAAATCTGGAAGAATTGGCGGCGCCATGATAGTGAATCTCTATCTGCCATGTTCTTCTTATCATGGGCCATTGCCGGAGTACCCCTCGGTGTCTACAATATTGTCGACGACTTCAACATCGCATTACAGGTTCAGCCTAATATCCTTATCCTTCTAAGCCTCTTCACCTGGTCTCAATGCAAGTATTATGGAGACCATTGGAACTTGGTGAAGATCGCTGCTTGGTTTGTTGCTATGGCTTTGGTGCTTGGTGGTGTTGAGACTGGCCTAGTCTTTGCGCTCAGGGTGGCGGATACACGTGGGCTCAAATGGCCGTCGACCTTGATGGCGGTCCTTGCCGCCGTGCTTTTGGCAGGAGGAGTCCTTCGCCATTATGTCGACATGTTCAAAACGCGCTCAGATGCTGGACTGTCGCTCAAGTTTGCGTTTTTGGATGCTAGCGGAGATGTAGCATCGATTTTGTCCGTGGTGTTTCAACCACAGCTCAGCATCCTTGGACTGGTCATCTACGGCTCAGAGTTGGTGATCTGGCTAGGCTTGATTTTTGTGGTAATCTATTTTCGGATGGCAAATCGGAAGACTTCGAGGGAGAAAGACAACACAACCGGAGTATAGGGATATCGCTGGTGCATTTTGCTTTGCGGTAGGGAGGAACATGGTATTTGGTAACATAATGTATGCGGGAAGCGAGCGCCGCAAGCAATGAATTCAACGTACAATAACCCTACGCCACAACACTCATGTGGCTTGCCTGCCTTTTGCTCGTCAGTCAATCTGTATCATAGCCACGTGCGGGAAATTAACTCGCAACAGGAAATCCTTAATCTGCCTTGATTGCTCATTCGGTTTCTCGATCTAAGAACAAAGTGTGAAACTATATCATCTCTGTATACACATGTGAGTGTGACTCCAACTGCGACTGCGACTATAACTGCCTACTGCGTGATCAAGACATCCTAGCTTTCAGCCTCAACCCAGCCCGTCATCTCGTCCTCTCAAAGCAACCATGACGAATCTTCCAATCGTCCAATTTAGTCCGATCAAGTGAAAATCTTCCAAACGCGAAAACATCTACACGCCGAACCTACGCAACGCCTGTTCATGTCAACCTGTCCCCACTTCTCGCGCAAAGTAACGTCATGCAAAACTGACCCTCTTCTTCTTCCTCAACACGTTGCCCTTCTTCCGCGCCCTCTTGTCCTTCCGGGCCCCCGCCTTCCCCAATAGTCATGCCAGACTAACTCTCTTCTTTTTCCCCACCTTACACTTACACGTCTTTCTGTCGTCCTCTGCCCCAGCTACCGCTCCCGCCCTCTCCAACTCCTTCTCCTTTTCCCGATTCTTCTCCATAAGCGCATGCTCCCCATGCCCTTCGCCAATAACAATACTGCTCACCGGCCTCCCCGCGCCCACACTGATCCCCTTGTTTCCGAACCAGCCCGCAAGCGACTTGCCACTCTTCTGGCTATCAAAGCTTGCCTTCCGTCTGGGTGTGGTCGGTTGACTCGGTTCCGTGCCTGCGACTTCATCGCTGGACCACCAACCTTCCGGTCTGGACGTGGATGTGAGGGTTGTAGTGCCGGAATCGATGACCGACGCGTTTGGGCTGAGTGTTGCGTTTTCCAGAAGGCGGGATGTGGGTGGTGGAGACATGAGGGTGCGGCGGGGAGGTGAGGACACAGCTTTGGGAGCCGTGCGGGCTTCGTAGCTGGCTAGGTGGGGGACTTTGGTGGAAGATATGGGGCTGGCAAGGGTGGGGGGAAGGACTTCTAGAATGGCGCCATCGATGGAGAGTGGGCGGCGGGAGTTGGATGGGACTTTGCGGGTGCGCAGGGCGGCGGGGCTTGACGCGCTTTCATCACCGGCGTCGTCTTCCTCTTCGGCAGAGGGTGTGTGCTCGGCTTGGGCGAGGAGGCCGTAGTAGCGGCCGGGGGAGCGCCAGCGCTTTTCTTTTTGACCTTCAAGCGAGGGTTGCTCGCCTTTGTTCGCATGTTTGTCTAGGGCATCGAAGACATGCGGGAAGACGAGCTTGTCGACGGATTCGCCCCAGAGGAAGTCGAGATGCTCGTAGTGTGGAATTTCTTTGGCGCTGGTATGGCGGGGGAGCTCTTTGAGCATGACATTGATGTCGACAAGGCCGTCAGCGCCTCCATAAATTAGGACAATAGGCGTTTTGATGTTGCGAGTGGGGAATTTGGCGACTTTGTAGTACTTGCTTCGGTTTGAAAGTGGGCTCGGTGCATCATCGTCGTACATTTGGAAAGTACCATTACGGATGATCTGGAACCAATGAACGACACTTTTGGTGGAACTGTACGAGTACAGATGCGGGTAGGCTGCGAGTTTCTGGTGTGGAGCAATGTTGACGGCTGTCCAGCCAAACAGGAAGCGTAAACACGTGTCGATGATGCGGACGAAGATTGGCGGGTAGAGGATGGACTGCCACATGGTGGTCGAGGGCAGAATCGCCTTGCGACCAAAGGCGAGATAGAGAATGTCGGGAGATGCCTTGACGAAAGAGTCGACTATGCCAGAAGCAACGCCCTTGGGCGACATGGCCGGTGCCAGCGCGATGAATACATCCACCTTCTCATTGAGCGTAGGATGAATAGACAGAGTGGCAAATGCTTGCGCCGTGCCCTGCGAGAAGCCAATATACGACAAGCTCGGCTGGTGGGTCGTCTCCAGAATATATGCAATCGAGTCCGGAATATCGTGGAAAGCGAACTGATCCATGCTAAAGTTCCAAAACGCACTCGAAGTTGGCGCACTGTGCACGCTCTTCTTCGAGTACTTGTTTCCCCTGTTGTTCCCGAGCCAGACATCGTAGCCGCGCTCCACCAACTCAAATGGTAGACAGCGTTCCCGCTCTGTCAAGCAGACCCAGACCTCGCTGTTCATCATCAGCCCATGATGGAGGTACACCACCTTCTTCTTGACCCCGGTATTCCTATCACTAGAGTTGACGCGAACACCCTCCTCACCCTGACGCCAAGCCAGACGATGCAGTCCTAGCAGATAGCCATCACCAGTCTGTACAATGTGCTCCTCGCAATAATATCCCCACAGTTCGCAGAGCTCTGTAAAATCCGAGGCATTGGCAATGGAGCTCCAAACGCCCTTCTTCTTCTGCCGTACACGCTTCGACGAGGGCGAGGAGAGGTGGTTGAATAGGCGGCGAGTCAGGCGGTAGCAGAGGTTGATAACGGGCGTGGGCAGCGCAAGAGTGATGACGGCGATGAAAGACTCGAAGACGATGAGGGAGACGGAGAGGAAGAGGGCAAGGTACTCGCGCAAGTGTAGACGCGAGAGGAAGGGAATGTGCAGCGCCATGTTCCTGAGCTGTGCTGTGCTGCCTGCAAAGTCGGTGTGTTGGTTGCGGCGTTGCGCTCGCTGCTCTCGAGTCTCGAGCCAGCCGATGGAGGAGGAAGTTGTGAGCTATGCCCAAGTGCTATATTATGCGGATCTGCACGGGGGGGGGGGGGGGGCGTTGTGCAAAGGTTGCCGGTAGGACCGTTAGCTAGGTGGTTCAAGGGGAAGTCGAGCTCAATTAAGCATGCAGCAACACAATGCTAACACACGCGACATGGCTCGCCCGTCACAGGACAACGGCGGTGAGGAAGGTGAACAGCAAGAGTCCAGCAGCAGAAACAACTGGCAAGTCATGATGGGTTCGCTGGCAAGCCTGTGGAGAAATGACGTTCCAGAACCAGCCGGGTTGGGGTTTAGTTGGGATCCAGGTTGGCCGGCGCGGTGCTGGCGTGTCTTGACATGTGATTACGCTAATGGTATTGTATTGTACGCTTGGACCAATGTTCCCGTTCACTCGACCTGTCTGCTGACATAAGCCTTGCCGATTCCACTTTCACACTGACACCACCACCACCACCACCACCACCACCACATCGATACCCACGCGCCGGCCGGTAGCATTACCACGTCCACACCCCCGGTTCACAATGCCACAATCATGTAAAGACATACGTGCGCAACCCACCCCTCACCCTCCCATCCCAATCACATTACGCTAACCCACCACCAGGAGCCGCCCTAGCATTCTGTCTGCAAAACAGCGACTGCATCATGGTCGAGCGCCACACCGCTGGCGAATGCCTCCGCCCCCCTCTAAAATACACACTGCCCACACAATGCCAGCAACTCCAACGGGGCTATGCAGAGTGCAAAAAGGGCATGATTGATATGCGCAAGCGCTTTCCCGGAAACAGGCCGATTGCAGTGCAAGGCCAATTGGAGACGGGCGCGTTTGGAGAGGGCAGGGCGGAGGCAGGATGAAGACGGTGGGGACGATTGAGGAGAGAGGATACATGTTCGTGCGCTGGGCGGCCGTATAAGAGTAGTGGGGGAACGGGTGAACATGGGACGGGAGAGGGGGGGAGTGGGGAGGGGGAGGGGCGGTGATGGAGAATGATCGAGGATGACGAAGAAGAGAGGGGCGTGTGTACGATACGTTAGGGCATATGATACAGTGTCTATAAGAATTAAGAAGGGGACATGGCACGTTTTGCAAAGGCACGTCAGCATGGGTCTGGCGCTTCACACAGCATCGGCAGTTGTTGTATATATACCTGTATACTGCCCACCACCCACCCGCCATATCCGAACCATGGCTCCCGCAAAGAACAGAAAAAATATCTTCAAATCCAATCCGCACATGACCCAAACCCCAAACTCCCCATCCCAACAATAGCCCAACTCAACCCATCCCCTCCCTCCCATTACCAAGCACCCCCATATTCCGAAAAGGCCAGCACCTATACGTCCCTTCCCTCCTATCCATATAACACCTCCCACTGCAACAAGCATTCGGCCGCGCCACACAATCCCCTAGAAGCATCGAAACATCAGTCCAACGCCCACGACTCACACACTCTGTCGTTGTAGCTGCTAACCTCCATTCCTGATACACAACTTGTCCTTCTCCCCTTCCAAAGTCGGATCATCCTGCACGCGCGATGCATCCGCCACAAGCGCGACGTTAGGCTGCGGTTTGAATACCCGGTTTGTAGTCGGCGCTGCGATACACATGGCTATGAATGCTGTGAGTGTGGTCGTGCGTTTCATTGTTATAACATTTGCTCGAATCTTCCTGGAAACAGTAATTGTGGTTTTGTATAGGTGTGGAAAGATTGCAGGAGAATTCCACAATACCAAAGCACACAAACATACAAATAATCGCCTTTGCGCCGCCTGCATACCAATGTATAGATTTGCACATGTGGACCTGGATCACAGATCGAATGATACATGAGAGTTTGGTCCCAGTGCAACATTGCACGGGGCAAAAGGTTTGTTTACATTGTTTGTTTGGATGGGCTGGAATGCGGGTTTGGCGGGGCTTTTGTGGTCATCACTCGTTCGGGGGATATGGGGGATTACAATTGACTTGGGTGGAAAAGAGTGTTTCTCTTAGGGGGAGGGACTCTGAAGTTTTCGGGATGATTGCGTATGAATTGCTGAGAATGGTGCGTTGGGGGTGTGTACTTGGGTTGCTGAGTGAGCTTGGAGTATGTGAGTGCTAGAGAGAAGTGTTTTGAAGAGGCTCCTTGTTACGTACGATGGGCCGCGGCTATGATATATAAGGAATTAAATGATATTGATGAGGTCAGCTCTGTGGAAAGCAGATTCGAAGGCACCGAATTAGGATTTATCCTTTGCATTTGATCTTGAGAGAAGTGGCTTCTAGATGGCCACCTGCATATGAGTGAATCTCCCCACACTAGCAACAACACCATTCAAAATGTAGATAACAACTATCTTCGGCGTTAACACCCAATCGCCCATTCAACATACACGCAGACACCAGCGCAAAACATGACCATCACAACAAGCATCCCCCCATCAGTTAAACACGCTCACCCACCCTCCACCCAGAACTCGCGAAACCCCATTCCAAATCAGCTCAACATATCCCACAAGCAAGCACCGTCGCATCCCTACCCGTCTCAGCAAGCCCACCCAAACGTACAAAAAACTTCCATTGAAAACTCACCGGCAATCAAAGCACGCCTCCCACCCCGGCACATCCTTCCTCCAATACCGCCGCAATATCGTCCTCGCCTTCAGCGGACTGTTCGTGCCCAAAGAGCGACTCATATCTCCCAGCATCACATCGATCCAGTTCCTGGCGCCCGCGCCTCGATACCCTGCTTCCACACCGGCTACCACAAGCGGCCAGGCCAGAAATTTCGCGAGGCGGGGGGATTGGAGGCCCCGCTGGAGGTTGGCGAGGAGGCGCTCGCCGTGGGAAGATCGTGTGGAGTTTAGAGAGGGGGAGGGGGAAAGCAGGGTAAGGGATTGGAGAGCCATGATGCAATATATGACTGTGGCGGCTTGGTATATGGTGCCGATGGTGAGAAACTCATCATAGTAAGTACCCGGCTGTGCCCAGGCTTCTGGTACAAAACTTGTAATGCTATTAAGCAAGTTGTGAGCCTCTAGGGCGAGGCTGAAATCCCTAGCGTCCAGTGATGTGATGGATATCGATGTTTTGGCACGGAGATCGTTTATCTGCAATACTGCGGTGAATAACTCGGGTGGGCAGAGGGTGTATGGGAAGATGTGATTGTAGAGGTCTGTGTACTCTGCGATTATCATATCATCTGAAGCTATGCCGGGCTGGACTTGGTCTGATGCTGGACTGCATGTGTTTGCCATTGTGATGATGCTAAATTTTGTCAGTCTTGTGTAATGCTGGGGAATTTATAGTTGGAATGTTACAGGATGTGTGTGACTAGTGTGGGTGCTAGGAAGGGCGCCTGCTTCAACAGGTTCTTAAAGCCACCTCGTAAATTCACGACGTATTGCATGGCTAGAGCGTGAGAGCGCCAGTCAGTGTGTAATGGACTCTGCAACTGTAGAGTACTTCAGCACATTTACTTCAATCTGACTGGAATACGATCTTGAGTTGTTCATAACTTACATCAACGCTCATGAACATGAGGATACTTGCAATCGTGACATCGCTGCATCTAGTCCTATCCTGACTAATATAGTAATTCAGAGACCGAATCGCAGCACCCCGATGATGGTAGAGCTTCAACCTATTTGCTACTGCAATTTGCTTATCTGCCCCTACTGGTAGCGAGTGAATAAAGTGATTTACAGACATACAGACGAATGTGTGATGTACCGTGGGAGGTAAGACATGCAAAGCTTGCAGGGGAAACATAGTCATTGCTGGGTTCGGTGCGAGTTCCGCAGAGGCCAGGACATCAGGATGTATCCGGCTATTATCTACTCGGATCAGTCCAAGTCTTAGCTCTGCGCGAAGCCACTTACAATAATGAACGGCTTGTACTACCTGGGCGGTTTCGTCGGAGAGGAAATCATAATATGGCAGTTTCTCTGAGCGCATGAAGATGAGGAGATGCTCGAGTATCTTCACGGGTTGTCGTTGCGTGTGTAACAGTTTGGCGGCTTCATCATGGAGGCCCCTGGCCACTATGTCCTCTATCCTAGCCCGACTTCCCGCTCGGAACATACGATCAATATCTTTCAAGATCCTCGCGTGTATAGGAGCTAGGCTGCAGATGACGGTATCATGCTGTTCTTTGGTCAGGTGTTGAGAGTCATCATCTTGGGTAGGTAACACAACGCCGAAAGCCGACTGCCAGAACGCGAGATCCTCGTTTTCATCTTCGCAAGGGGGTGTTGGAGATGAAGGGCCATTGAGATTCACGGATCCTCCATCAATAGGTTGATTGGGAGGAACGTGCGCGACCCTCCCAAGCGTTGAGCCTTTTGAAGGCGGTAGTAGTGCTGTAGATGGCAAAGTACTACTGTTCTTGCTCCGCCTGGCTGTAATTTTTCCGACCGGGACCCATTGTAGCGGCTTTCTAGAAAGTGAAATGATTCAGTCTGTGTTTCAATAATATGTTTGCATCCAAACATGCTGAACCCCTTGGCATCTACAATGTGTACTTCCTCAAGTAGAACAAGCAATCAGCCTGCGCTTTCGACATAGCATAACATTAAAGGGATTGCAATTCAGGAAAATCTTACTCCTCGCCGTAGCCTAGACACTGCTTGCCGCCATTCTGGCATTTCCTGCAACGTGGTATCGTGCGATCGCACACTAGCCGTCGCTTCAGGCAATCCCAGCACTGCTTATCTGCTTTCTTTTCCCTGCTTTCGGGCAACATGCTCATGCTTTTCCGAGACCTAGGATGTGGTAGCCTGACAGGGTATGGGGCGTTATTCGGTTGAACGGCAATTCCAGAGTCACCAACTGGCACGCTGGTGTTGTGAAAAGGTCCAGAGCAAATAGTCTGGCATCTTCATCGACTCAACGAGGTCGTTAGGCTACCCATGCGATGCAATGGCCATCGACGACGTTTGATGACTGTGGCTGTTGTGGCTGACGTTCAGCCTCTTGTCTCGGCCATCTTTTACTCTATTTTGGGCCTAGTGGTTGTGGCGTCGGTACTGAACCTGGCTTGCAGGAGTGCACAGGCTGATTACCTAGTTTAGTTTGTCCGACTTCGTTGCTGCCCAGACCAGTCTGACCCAGAGAAATATATAGTCATTCAGCAAATGCTGTATCGCGATTCTTGTTGAGTGCGTTGCTGGCTGTTGTTGCACCTGCAGGCTTTGGGGGGCCGTGAAGCAGGACTATGACGTCATTATCCATGTGCTCTGATGAGTAGGGGAGAGTTACAGAGTCTACTTGACCTACTAATAAGAATAATCTCGACGATAGCAGTGAGCAAGGCTGGCCTAGTCGATAGCCAGAATAAGGACGTATTAGAACACGTATTAGAACAAGGTATGGGGCCAGGGTTGGCACTAAGATCAGGGAAGGAGATTATCTCCAAACACGCCTTTCGCCATGATCTGATTCATCAGCAGGTCGATTGAATATTTGCTGGTAGGTCAGACATAATCTCCCGATGCTTAAGTGCACAACAGATCTTAGATTACTGCCTCCATCTCATAAAAAACTCGGTTGAATAGAAGATCAGGCCGCTGCTGGATACATTCTATTGTACCTGTATGTTCTAGGCTGTATGTCGTGGTCTGAGCAAGAACCAGAACATTCTCCACATAAGCAAATCGCGATCAACCCAACCCAATGGTGAGGAAGGCAATGTATCCCAATATTATACAAGATTAACTGATACGACTCCCGTCCTGCTATAGGGCTGATCTTCAATGCTACACGTAAATTCTACTGGCCATTGCAGGACATTCACGATGAACTTGCATGTTACGGGTACGGAAGCGTTGATTTGCAGTGCGAGCCCTGGTGGCCAGACTACCGTATCACTACCTCCAAATACTCATGATTCATCATCCTCTGTAGTCTTCCAAACTGTCGTAGTCTTCACATGCAAAGTTCCATCCAGTTCAGCTTACCAATTAACATGGTATCCCAGGATCCGTATATTCATCTTAGGTCGTCCTCTAGGTAGCGGTATTCTCTAGGAGTTTCTAGGTAAGTCAGCAGACTGGTTGAATGCAAACATTCCACTACCATGTTGTCCTCCCCGTCGCCAGATTTCGTCATAGCAATGCCGCCCCCTCTGCGCAAACCATGACTTGTTACAGGGCCCCAGTCGCGATTTTCTCTTAGGATTTCCGGATCTGTTCACTGTGGCACTGTCAAACGGCAGATCAAGAGTGACCCTTACCAAAGATAGTCTTGACATTCCTTTAGACATACCGTCCCGAACCGCCAAGCAGGTAACGTCCATTACATGTAGCGGAAATATTAAGCCTCATTGACCACGATATGACCTAGAGTATATCGTCATCAAACATGGTTGATCTGCCGAGCAATGCCGCATAGCCCAACCCACACCCACACATGCCCACACCCACATATACAGTACACGCACACCAGCGGAAATGGCGCTGTGCACGGCATTGCTTTAGCACCCACACCACACAACGTGCACGCTCGCCAATCCCCCACTCGGCGGACAAGTTTGCCGACAAAACAGTTTCACCACACCCGCCCGTTACAGGAGTTTTCCTTGCTTCAAGTTCCTAGAGCGACTATCAACCGCCATCGCGAACTTCGGCGCGCTACACTGAGTCGCAACTTTACCTTTCCCATGGAGAGCTGTGAGCCTACCAGACAGAAACATGTGAGCCCATTTCCCATCTTAGCCAAAGGCTACGCAGTCCCACATGCCCAAAAAAGAAAAACCCAAGACAAACTCCTGGGTCGTCTATCGCGCACTACCCGTCTTGTAATGGGGCAAGATCGTGATTTGAATCAGTGGTCTGCTGCACGATGAAGAAATGCTCCCCCGTGAGGAAAGCGGGGCGATGCTGCGACGATGTGGTGCATGTGCTATGTCAGAAATTGCAGACTGTGTGCCTGCTCACTGGACAAATCATGCTCGCAATAGCAAAGGCTGCTGGAATTCGAAACGTTCCTCGTGGGACGTTACTATGCAGCTGGTTCTGAGTTGGGCAAGGTGCACATGGCATATCATACTTATCGCAGCATAGCGTACTCGTAAGAAAGGCTGGGCACGCAAAATGACTGAAGAGGGAGGGTAGGACGGGCACGAAAGAGTTGGGGATTTGCACGCCGCATCTGCAACTTGCCAGACGGCGATGTAGAATCTGGGGTTCGTTTAGACTGGGGAGGAATATTCTCGGTGTATCTGGCGGTAAGCGCGGCCAATTGTTTGACCTTGCGATAACTGTAGAGGCTCTCGCCGAAGAAGCGCCGTGGTGGATGCGGGGTGAGGTCACGATGCATGGCTTGAAGTTGAATGCGGCGGTAGCGGGCTTTGGAGTGGGGGTTGGCGTCTCTGTTTGACAAGAGGCGGGAGTGATATAGCTTGCGATTGTGTAATAATGTATTTGCGATAGATGGAAACTCATGTTGGATCAGGAAATTAGATATCTTGGATTGAAATGTCGCTGTCGCTGCGCAGTTTGTAAGAAAGGATGCAAATGCTCAAATAGAAAATGGATGCCGTCCAACGAAGGCAAAATGTAAACAACGCCGTGAAATGCTGGAAGTATAAACGCCGTGCAATGCGAATGTGTCGAGAGGAGAGACACGTAAACTCCGCCCAATGCAAATATGCTCGTAACCCGCCCTCCTTCATAATCTCGATTTCTCAGACATGTCGAACCTCGCTCTGGATCTCGATCGTGTGGACGACCTTCGACGATCCGTACCATCTTTGGGTTTCCTAGCTCTGGGACGTCGGAGCACAGGAGCCTCCTCTTCTTCTGACTCATCCACGGTAAAGAGGTCTGGCGATGGCTCTCGCCATGAGTGGCGATGCCCTGATAGTGTCCTCGAGTACCGGCGGCGATTTTGTGTCTTGCGTGCCACAAGATCCTGCCCACGGCCGCGCATTGATTCGCTGCTGGTGATCCTCGGTGGGCTGAGTTGCGATACAATGTGAGGTGTGTCGTTGAGGCGATCATCGTCAAGTCCCATGAAAGTCTCTTCCTCGTCGTCCTCCTCCTGGATGGTTGGCGTGTGGTATTGGCTGTGCAGGTTATTATGATTATGCTGGACATAACGAGCCCATTTATTGGCGACGTTTGACTTGAACTTGGCCGCTTTGCTTGTTTGCGGTCCGTCGTGAACGATGCCAGCGCTCAGTGATAGTTCGTATGGATCATCGGCTTCAGTGATTGGGGAGATGAAATGTGCGAATGGGTCCTCGTCGATATCTGGTAGGCCGCTTGCTTGAGAAGCTTCGTGCTCAGCCATGTCGATCCATGGGGGGAAAGAGTAGGCCCGGCTAGAGTTGCGCAGATGAGAAGGCATGACGGAGAGAAGCTTTGCGATGGGTCTTAGAAGACGAACACAACGGCTAGACAGAGACGAGTTGATAGTCGGCTCAACTTCTGCGAAGGTGACGCGAGTTTGCAACGTCCCCTCCCGTCTAGAGTCCCGTCCAGTTAATCGACACAGAAACAGCGTGGGAACACTGCTCAGCGCAGTAAGAAGGCGGACTCGTTTGGTACAACTTTTTTGGGGGTAGATGAGAGAGTCAAGAGGCTGGGCTATATATGCGTGACTATGGCGTGCGGCTCCGGGTAGAGTCACAAGGAGGACGCCGTGTCAAGCGATCGGTTAAGAATGTTGCTGCCTGTAGGGGAAGGGCGTTTTGCCTAGAGTGAGCAGGCAAGAGGCAATGCGAGAGAGAAGTCGAAACCGACAAGACCGAGATGTTTTTTTCCTCCACAAGATATCCGACTTTCTGAAACCATGGCCAGAGGGCGCGGGTGAGTACTTATGTCCCCCAAGGACAAGACGTTCTCTCGGCCAGTTACCCTGCATGTGCAGGATGCAGGCCTCTCCGCCTGCATTAGTGTGGGTGTACACGAAAGCTTAGTGCAGTGTGGACGAAAAGAGAAGGATATCCAAGCCGCAGGAGGAATGAATGACAGGCCCAGTGATCGCTGACCAGCCATGTGCCAGCCTGCTACTCCATCCCTCCATCGCCAGTGCCGGTCACCTGCGCCCTGCACGCCTGCCAGTCCAATGAGTCTGGCGCTGCAACACGGCCAGGGCGGCCGTTAACGCAGGCGGCAGGCCTGTAGATCGTTGTGGTCGCACAGCAATCGTAGGCTACTACTAGAGTAGAGGCATGGGGCCCTGCATTGCTTCAGGACCGAAAAGCGCGATTGTCGGAGCTGCATCGAAACATCGAAACATGCAGAGAGTGGGGGGGGGGGGGGGTGTTCATGGTGGAGAGAGCGAGAGGGAGAAAAAAAAAGAGACTGGGAGGGGGGAAGGCCTTTGGGAATAACCAAAATTGGAACCAAAAGGGGCCTAAGGGGGGGGGCCCCCCCCCCCCCCAAATTGGCAAAACCACCAAACCTCCATTTTCCCCCCCACCAAAACAAAAGGCAAAAAGGGGTGGGAAAAAAAAAAAAAAAAAAAAAAATTTTTGTTTTTTTTTTTT